CACACACACACACACACACACACACACACACACACACACACACACACACACACACACACACAACAATCTCATATATTCCCTTAGTGATAGACTAAACATTATTTGATTTAAGGAGTATTCAGCTTTATCGCTGGAACTCTTTTCTTGGTCTTGTTGTAAGGGATATCATTATTTGGAGTCGAGCCCAGTGTCTGCACACAGATCTGTTTGTCTACACTGGGTTCTCGCTCTGTTCATCAGGTAACATTTGCTGCTTTTGTTTTCAGTCTGTTTCAGGTGGGTACTGGAAGCCCACAGTGGGTTTATCTGAGGTTTTCTGCTGGCAACATGAAGCAGCAGCAGCTCTAAAGAAAGTCAATAAGAGAAGAAGCTTCACGCTGGCAAATGAAAATTACTCGAAAAAAAAGCAAGTGATATCCTCCACGCGGTCATTTGATACACTGTTGATATGAATACTATGATAATCTCACCAGCTGACTGCCTCACTTCTCTGTTCCTAATGCTCCCGCCCATTTGACAAACCCTGTCCCCTGTCTGATCTAGGTCTGACAGGTTTTCACCCTTGGTATTGAATTTATTTTTCAGAGTCAGTTCCTCTTTAGAAGAAACATTGTTTGAGTCCCTCCCAGCTCCAGCCATCAACAGCAGCGGCTGCTTTAGATTCATTAATATTTATAGGCTAACACAGGATTTTACAGGCCGACCTGTCGCGGCTGCTGTAACTGCTGCTGTAAAACTGCATCTTAGATGCCGAAGCACTCCCTTCACAGCTGACTCTTGGCACAGCTGAAGCAATCGAGCCTAAATGCTCACACACACGCACACACACAGAACGACTTGTAGTGATTTAAGTTGAAAATCTGCTCTTGGAGGAGAAGGCTGATTTATTATTATTATTGTTATAATGCTGGGGATCTATCTGCAGTTCTTTGTGTGGCATTTTCCCCTATAAACCATATAGTAATAACATTCAGACAGCCCTGTACATTAAAATGAAGCCAATTTCAGGTCTTTCTGCCATGTAGGTGAGAGGTGATCTTACCCATTAAGGTTAGAGCCACTTTCCCCTTCAGTAACAGTGTCTTCCAGGTCTGTGACCATGAGGGAAATGGTCTGTGTTATGGAGGTGAGCAGGGCTCACCTTGTGCCCTGATGAAAGACATATGCTATTAACAACCTCTGCCTCATCACTTTTATCGGGCAATTGAATCCAGTAGTTTTCCTTCACATTAAAGTGCATGCTCCTTACCTGTGGCTGCTCACACTGTGAGTGAAGTGAAGCCATTTTCTGTGATGCCCTGGTCCAAGTTTATTTGTATAGCTCTTAATCACAGTTACAAAAGGCTTCGCAACGCCCACATTATGGAACAACAAATGTGAAAAATGGGTTTGAATCTGCTGCCACACAAAGCATGGCTCAAATACAATGCTTTAACAGCAGGAAGGACTCAAAGCTGTGGGTTTTATTGCTCATGTATGGACTGGATAAGAAGTGACAGAGAGACTCGTTAAGCAGTGGGTTATATGCTCCCCAGGAAACTTTGAGCCTCAGACGCTTTGTTTTCTGTTTTGATTCTCCAGTTTTTGCCCCTTTATTGCTTCAGTTTTGTATCTACGCCTGTGGTGACTGGGCCAGTCAGTCAGGTTGTTGCTGCTGATGGTGTCAACATCACTGAAACACACTGCCAGCAAGCAAGCCTGCCAATCAATCAGCCAATCAGCAGCTTATCAGCTCATCATTCACAGCATCTTTTCTTATCTGCAAACCTATGCAAAGTAGTAATGACCTAATTAGAGTGACACTCACACTTGCTGGCAGCTGTGCTGGTACAGTCAATGAGGTGGCTCATTGTGATGAATGGATGGGCGACGGCTTTCCCTGGTGGAATTCTCCCACCTGCACTCGTCAAACATTTGGTTAATTAAGTCAAGAACTCGCGCTCGTCCGCTGAGAGTTTTCACAACCAGATAAAATGAAGTGGAAACAACTCAGCTCCAAGAACCGGCAATGTTTTACAGCAGGTCACACAGTTGAATCATTTTGCATATCCTTGAACTTTTTCACGAATTTTTTTTTTTTTACATTTCATTATTAGCCAGCTCCGATTCAATGACACCAATTTGTTTTCACTAAATGAATGCCACTCGGGCACTTTGCTCCCGAAACTCCAGCCTCAAATGCCATTGGCATGAAATTTTGTTGTGATATTTACTTTGCTCATGGATGACAAAGATGATAAATCTTAGTGACCACAGTGGTGTCATATCTCCACGCTTTAGTGCCAAAAATGTTTTTGGGTTTTAGGTAATAAAAATGACTCAGCATATATTTGGATTCGTTATCATGAAATCTGGTTACATGATCACACACACACACACACACACACACACACACACACACACACACACACACACACACACACACACACACACACAAATAAATCTCGTAAAGATTGTCTTAACATATTTTCAACATATGAATCAGGAGAATGTCTCTTTCAGCTGCCTGCTCTATTTATAATGACTATGTACTCTATTAGACTTCACACTGAAACATTTACTTTTACACTGTGGGCTGTAGCTTCTGTTGGGCATTGCAGCATGGACTTTGGATGACTCATACAGTATGTCTTTCTACATTTGTTTTAAGACTGAAATGCTGCCTCTAACCAGTTATCCACCCTGCAACGCTCCTGTAAAGGTTGTCTATGGTGAGGTCTGGAGCCTCTCTCAACTACCATTAAAATACGAGACGTTTATAGTTTTAAAGCTCCATTAGAAATGTGAGGAGAGATGCTGTGGACTCCAATCAGCGGCCGTCTGGCCTCCTGGTTTGGATGTTTCAGCACCGCGGACAGCGCACAGCCTCGCTCAGCTCCTCTCGTCTTATTGATGCTTGATGATTTGTGATTTCCGGAAAGATCTGCCTGACAAAAACAAGTCCTAGAAGAAACAGAGACCTGGTGGGCTTTTCGTTTTTTTATTTAGCTCATATTAAGAATAAGAGGATTATTTTGTTTCCGCCAAAAATCAGTTTAATAACAGGAACACAGGTTACCGCTCGCCTAAATTAAATTTCCTCACCTCGCAGTCACTCCTGCAGAAGTGAACTGACTACGAGCCTGAGGGTTTGAAGTGCGTGTATAAAAAAAGAAAAAAGAAATCATTTCATATTCCCGAACACCAGTCGCGCTCACGATTGTTTTGATCACCCACCAAAAGTCGCTCACTCGCCTTTCCATTTAACACAACGTCACTGTAAAGTCTCTACGTGGCACCTCAGGCACACTTATAGCCCCTGTAGGAGTGTTCTTGGGGCCTGCGGGTCATTGGTCAACAGGACGCTCGAGCATCTCCGGCTGTAGCAGCCGCCTCCTTCTCTGCCACAAAACCCCGCACACGGCATTCAAGCCGGAGACTTGGCGGACTGCACTCTCTCGTCAGGAGGAAAAAGGAAAAGCAACATAAAAAAACTTTTGCTTGGGAGTGAGATGGGCGGCTATAGCTGATCTTGGGTAACGCGATCATTGGCTGTATGGATTATCGATAAGTGCAGTGAGGAATGCGTTCTTGTCATTAATTATTTATATATTCCTGTAAAGCGGCGGGCATGCGAGAGAGACGCCGCAGCGGCGAGGATCGCCCGCTCTGAACCGGAGGAGTCACCGGCAGATGATGTCCCGATGTGAGAGTGCTTCCAGAGGAGACGGAGGAGAGGACGCAGGAGGATGAAGAGCGGGGGAGAGGGATCGAGAGCGGCAGAGGTGGAATATAATGAAGTTGAGTGGGAAAGGACTGTGCACCGTCCTCTCCAGCACCCTCCTCTTCGTGTGCGCCCTGAGCGAAGTTGTCGTTGGATTAAGATGCGTCTCGTTGGGATCTACGGTGAAAGCGCATTTCCACCTCGGCTCCACGGCCGGGGCTTTCTACTCCGGGCTACTTGTGGGAATCGGGCAGGTCATGCTGGGAACCGCGCTGGTGTGTTGCACGGACAAGCCCGGCTGCAGGAATTTCTTTCTCCTCGGTGTTGTGGTCTTCTTGTTGGGGGTCCTCACCGCCTTCTCTGGCGCGGTGGTGGACGGGGACACGGCTTCTCTGGTGGAGAGGAAATATTCCCATTACTGCTTCCACTCTGTGGTGTTGAACCCTGCCTGCGAGCAGCTGAGGGATTACCAGCGGAGTTTGGTCATCTCCACTGTTCTCAGCACGTTGGAGTGCCTCCTCGGGCTCATCAACCTGGTGATCATCAAAAGGTACAAAACAGCGCAGTTTTCTAGGAGCAGACAGTGTCAGAGGCAGAGCGCCGGGGCGATCATCTTCAGCGAGGAGCGGGACTGCTCCTCGGCGGATTTCCAGCCGGTGTCTTACATCAACCTGGGTGTTTTTGGTGTGTTTGACGAGACAGGTGCAGAAGTGCAGTGCGGGGGACACCCGTCAATCGAACTGCCGGGATACTCGCCCACGGATCCGGAGCTCAATCATTGCTTCCCTTTCTCCTACCCGCTCCCCAGTGAACTGCCACCCGCATACGAAGACATTTTCCCCGCTGAGGCATGCAACACATAGCCGCTCTGGAGCAGCCCCGGCAGCGCTTCCCTCTGCTGTGACAATCAATGACTTTACGCTTTAAAAAAAAAACAACCCCTTCCTCTTCCTCCTCCAACAACCCAACAAAAAGCAGTAAGTTACACAGGAGGACGGCGGAGTGGATTTTGTTTTTGCCTCATTCCTTCTCACTTTTCTTTTACCTCTGCCTATGCTTATGTTGAACATCACCAATCAGACTGATGTAGATAAACACATCATCCAGGGCCAGACAGTGCAGGCAGATCAAGGCCCATAAAACGCAACAGCTTGCTAATATAACAAAAAGCAGAGTTTGTGTTCTGAATGTTTGCTGTTAACGTTTTTACCTGTGAATAAACTGTATTTAACCTCACCTGAAGTCATGGAGCTGCTGGCAGTTTAGATTTTGTGCTGGTGTGTTCACTCTAAACTTCGAGCCTAAAGGTTGCGGGCAGACCTCCTCCAGACTCTCAGGATAGCTGGTGGAGCGTAATTAATGAAAGTGTCATGCACATCAATCCAAACGGTAATTTTATAAAATCACGAGAATTCATGTAATCCGCTGGGTAAACACCCGAGAAAAGGCTCCAAAAGGAGTCACATCTTTTCACGTCAAAGCGGGGATAATTTGACAGAGAAACTCTCCTTTGCACGTTTAATCCCATCCAAGTGCAATTTTAGTTTTTACGCACGATAAAATAAATTATGTCGTAATTGTTACCACAAAAAAAGCACACACATTTCTGTAGCTGCTAGTAAAAAGCAAAAAAAACATGAACATATGTGTTTTAACTGTTACAGTTTATTTGTTCCTTAATTACTTTGTATGAATGTCTTTCTCAGTAGGATAAAACTTGTGAAAATACAGTTAAAAGTCTAAAATCTATGCCCTCCTAAACCAAAGGCTTACAATGGGCCAGATTTCAGACTTTGCTGGCCAATTCTTACCTTATGTTTACCCACACTTAAGTAATGCATTAGTGTTGCACTCCAAAGAGCAGGGTGACTAAAGAGAAAGAAAGACATTATTTTAAAAAAACGAGTAAAGTCTAACAATCAAGAGCTTCAAACACACAGGATCCATAAAGCAGCTGCAAACTTGGATTTGTTCTACCTTCATCAAAAGTTACTCCACCCCATCAGGCTACCTGACCACCCAGTCTGACATAACTCTGGTGACATCATTATGACATCATCAGGGGTATATTTTTTTTTAGCCTCTGGATAGTTTTTCTCAGCTGGCTGCTGAGACCGCATGAGCTGCCTGAGCTTGATATGTAAAATCTGTGGAATTTCCTTTTATAGCAAAGCTTTTGTGAGTGACACAATAGATTATGGTAATGCTGATAATGAGCATGTCAGGTTCAGGAGGAAGCAGGCACGTCTCATGCAGTCTGAGCCTGAATGCGCTTCACTTTCCTTGATTTTTGAAGTAACAGGCGGGTAAATGACACAAAATCTCTCAATTCAAGGGATCAGACCAGCTGTCCGGATGCGATACAGCCCCAACGCAGTTACTCATTTTAACCAATTTAAAGAGTTCAAACTGTGCAGCGCTGCTTCCCATATGATTCCATGTGATTGGTCTTGAAATTATATACTTTCTCCATCCACACAAATGACTGCATCGTTTCTCAGCATGGATCCTCCCTGGAGATTGAAAAGCTTTTCAACCACACTATTACTCATTTCACTTAACAGCAAGAACAGAGAGAAGACAAATGACAGATCTGGCTGTCATTATTACATGCCCACCTTTGGACAACGCGTCTCTGTGGAAAATTAAATCGAAATGCTTCCTTTTCCTTCAAATTAAATCCCCTCAAATGAGCATCCGCGGCTGAATGTCTTTCTAGGGGCACTTTGACGAGCACTCTGTGATGAACAAACTTTAAGAAGTACTTCACTGGCTCAGTGTAATAATCCTCCTCTCATCTTTTTCAAAACTGTGTCATGATGCTCTCCACTTACTCATTCTGCTTAGGTTGGGCTTTGCGTGCCAGAGCTGAATAGAGGCTAGGAGGGGGGAAAAACATCCTGCTCTTGTCATCTCTCTTAGGTTTTCTGCCTGTAAAATATGTGGATATGACCTAAGATTATCTGAACAGCCGATTGAAGAACAAAAAAAGTCTCCAGGGAGCTGGTGCCCTCAAAGTTTCACAGAGTGTTGGCCAGAAAAGGGGAAAACAGAAGAAGATCCAAACAAAGCTAATGGTGTTGGTTCTTTGAAAGTCACCTGCCGTGAGTGTGCATAAACAGAAAGTTAGCACAGAGAAAAAAGACTTTCAAACTAAAAGATGATTTCTCTACCACGAATAAAGCTGCACGCTTGCGCTCCACGGCAGCAGTACCACACGGGGCTAGATCAGTTATGTGGCCCGAATGTGTTTCAGGTGGTTTTTGACAAGTGTGTGTGTTTTATTTTTATTTGAGAGATTTAAAAGTGCTATATGAAGGTTTCTAGCATTCTCTCTCAGCTCATAAAACCTCAAAATGTAGTAAAGATTACACTACAGGGAGGTGGTGCAATGAAGCAATGCTGCTCCTATTACTTATTTTTTTATTACGCACTGTGATTATTACTTTAGTGAAATGGTCGGATATTCAATAACCAGAGTCAATGAGGTAAATAAGCGTCATTTGGTTTGACGTGAATGCCTCAGAGTTATATTGTTAATGGGCTGAATGTGGCACAAATAAACCCAAAATTTAGATGGTGGAATAAACTCCTGTCTGACGGTACTCTGATCTCCCCTCCTTGTTAAATCACCAGACCTTCAGTGCAGGCTGTTTGCATTTACAGATATTGGACTGAAGATTTTTGCCACTTCCATTTTCTAGCTTATTGTCTGGTTAGGCAAGGCACAGACAGAGTGCACAAGGTCACTTATGGCATATATTTAAAATAGCTTTACAAGTCAAATTCTACATAAACATCCCCACGAAATGCACAAAACTGATGATTTTATCTTTCAAATTTGTGGAGCCACAATTATGTAGATACCAGGACTAACATTTTCTGACATTTGCTGATAAAATCTGCTGCACTGATAACACAGAGACCATATTTGGTGGATTTCACTCCAGAAAACACGAGTATTTAAGCAAAGTTTCTTCCAGGAAAGAAGAATGGCTTTTGTTCACACTGAGGTGATTAAACGAAAACCGAGCTGTGTCATGCTTCTGTTCGCTGGCTTATCAGATCTGTTTTCTGAGCTGCAATCAGTGTGCTACACCATATTGCACATAAGTGCATTATGATGTTGCCAAAAGTAATTAAATCCCGTTAGTGTCCAGAAGCTAATTACACATGGTCGTGGAAGTGTTCCCATTTCACGGCATTTCATACTTTATATTGAGCACATTCGTCATACAAAATTAATGATGAGCTCACAAGATATGACGCTGTGGTATAAACCGCCCTCTCAAGCAGTGTAAATATGATGCAAAAATATGAGCTTTAACTGGACTAACCAAAGCAATCAGTGACACTTCAGCACTAATGCAGAGGTAATCATTATCCAATTATATACTGCAACATTACTGACATTTTATGAATTCATGAGGCTTTTAATTTCAAAACTGTTGGAAAATGCAGCTAATAATACACACTGGAATGTTCAGTGCTTGACATTTACTCTCTACTATTTTTACACTGTGGCATTGCTGTTATTTAGTAAAATACTGAATACTTCTCCACCACTGCAGCCAGCTTGGTAAATGCTGACTGAACTAAGGGCGATATAGTCCCTCAATCCCTGTAAGGTGATTATTATTTATTTGCTTGTTATTAACACAAGATTAATAAAAACAACAATAATAATAATTTAAAAAGGCCAGAGGGGCCGATATGGCAGCCTCGCCTCTGTCAGTCTGCCCCAGGGCAGCTGTGGCTACAACTGTAGCTGCCTCCACCAGTGTGTGAATGAATAGTGGAATTGTAAAGCGCTTTGAGGGCCCCAAAAAGCGCTATATAAATGCAATCCATCATTATTATTACAAAAAAAATGTACCAGTTACATAAGTCTTACAGACAAGAAGCTACCGAGACACTGCTCACATCTTATCTACAACGTTTGAGTCGTATGCATATGTACATAAATTTGACCTTTATTGCACAAAAGGACATGAGTGTGATGGTAAAGTGCAAATTGGCCTGAGGATGGTAAAAACTGCATTCTGCTGTTAACTTCAGCTCTTTGCAAGCATCTGCACACACAACGTGCTCACACAAAGAATCCAGAGTGATGTTGAAACTGGGCGTTTGCTGACCTCAGCCCTGCAGACAGAGATTGTTTTGAAGTCTTTTGGGCTGGTTTTTGACTTGCATGTTTTCGGCTTTGTGTTCAAATGTAAACATTAAAAGAAAGTTTGCGTGTCCTCATTAGGATAGGGATTTGTTTCAGTGTGTGGGACTGTAGCCTAAGGTTTAACTCGGTAACTGGTAATTATGTGAGAATAAATTTCACCCCACGCTACAAAGTAATGCTACAAGTAGAGTAATGAGTTACATTTTCTGGGGAGTAACATATTGCATTTATTTATTCATTTTTAAAAAGTAATCAGTAATGTGTAGTACACTACTTTATTTGCATAATGACACCAAAATGTAACCTAATACAGCAGATAAATGAAAAATATAACTTATGAGATTTTAAAATTCTCTACTATATCTAATTTTTGCTACTGAATTAAAAAATGACAACTTGGATTTAGAACTACATTAAGAAATTATCATGTATATTATAATTGGGTCAGTACAGGTAATGAGGTAGCTAACCTTCAGCTAGCAACAGAAGTTATTAGGTTGATATTGCTAAATTAAAAAATATATCTCTTTATAGGATTTTAAGTCTCTGTACTGTATTTACTTTTTGCTACAACATTTAAAAAAATGAGAACTTGGATTTAGAACTACACTAATAAATTATAATACCATGGGTGTGTATTGGTAATATAGAAGGTAACCAATTAGCCAATAAGACTTTCTTTTTATTCTACCTAGCACCAGAAGTTAATAGTTTGAAATAACAAAATAAAAATATCACTGGATTTTAAAGTTTGTTTAAAACTTGACAACTTGGATTTAGAAATACAGTAATGGGTATGTATAGTTAAAGCGGGAGGTAGCCAACAAGCTCCGTTCACTAACGTTCTGCTTATTCTACCTAGCATCAGAAGCTGAGGTTGTCCATCCAACCATCCATTCATCTTCTTCCGCTTAACTGGGGCTGGGTCGGGGGGCAGCAGCCTAAGCAGAGAAGCCCAGACCGCCTTCTTCCCAGCCACCTCCTCCAGCTTGTCCAGGGGAACATTAAGGCATTCCCAGGCAGGCCAAGAGCTATAATTCTTTCCAGCATGTCCTGGGTCTGCTCCGGGCCCTCCTCCCGGTGGGACATGCCCAGAACACCTCATCTACGAGGTGCCACCTCAACTGGCTGCTTTCATTGTGGAGGAGTAGCAGCTCTAGTATGAGGCCATCCTGGATGGCTGAACTTCTCACCCTATCTCTAACTGAGAGGCCAGCCACCTTTCAGAGAAAGCTCATTTCTGCTGCTTGTATTCGATCTCTTTCTTTTGGGCACTACCCACAGCTCGTGACCATAGCTGAGGGTAGGGACATGGATCGACCAGTAAATCGAGAGCTTTGCTTTCCTCCACCCTTTTCCGGTTGAGGACCATGATGTCAGACTTGGAGGTGCTGATTCTCATTCCTGCCACTTCACACCCGGCTGCGAACAGCCATCACCTGATGAAGCCAACAAAACCTGCAAAAAGCAGAGATGAGATTCTGAGACCACCCAAGTGGAAGCCTTCAGCCACCTGACTATGCTTAGAAACTCTGTCCATAAACTTTATGTACAGAATCGGTGACAAAGGGCACCCAAAGAGCTTGCTCTACCAGCATGACATTGTTCCTCCTGTGTCCAAGGTTCAACAAATGGATGGACTCTCCTTTCCAGCACCCTGGCACAGACTTTCCCAGGGAGGCAGAGGACTCTCCCTCCAGTCCCCCTTCCTGAAGACAGGAATCACCACCTCGGTCTGTCAATCCAGAAGTACCGCCTCTGATCTCACACATTGCAGAGACGTGTGAACTCAGACAGCCCTACAACATCCAGAGCCTTCAGGAACTCAGGGCGAACGTCATCCACCCCAGGGGCCTTGCCACTAAATAGCTGTTTAACTGTCTCAGTGAACTCACCCCCAGTGTTGGACAAGTCGTTGCCCTCTTCCCCAGACTTTGCTTCTTCCACAGAAGACGTTTCAGTGGGATTAAGAAGCTCCTTGAAGTATTCCTTCCACTGCCCAAAATTATCCTCAGTTGAACTCAGCAGTGCTCCACCCACAGTGCACACAGTGCAGGTAGAGCACCGCTTTCCCCTCCTGAATCGCCTGACGGTTTGCCAGAATCTCTTCAAGGCAGTCCGAAAGGCTTTTTCCATGGCATCTCTGAACTCCTCCCACACCCGAGTTACTGCTTCAGCGACTGCCCAAGCCGCGTTCTGCTTGGCCCGTCAGGGCCTATCGGCTGCCTCCGAAGTCCCACAGGCCAACCAAGGCCAATAAGACTCTTTCTTCAGCCTGATGATTCCCTTCACCTCTGGTGTCCACCATCTGGTTTGGTGGACACCATGATTGGACTCGATGCCCCCAGTCTCCCTTGGAATGCTGTCGAAGCTCTGCCGGTAGTGGGAGTTGAAGATCTCGCAGGCGGGGACCTCTGCCAGGCGTTCCCAGGGAACCCTCACTATACGTTTAGGTACCCGAGGTCTGTCCAGCATCCTCCCCTGCCACCTGATCCAACTCACCACCAGGTGGTGATCAGTTAACAGCTCTGCACCTCTCTTCACCTGAGTATCTCGAACATATGGTCGCAGATCTGATGATACGATTACAAAATCGATCATCGATCAGCGTTGGGGTTACATATAACCGTAGGGAGCATTAAATATTTTTTTCTCAAAATAATCTTTTGAAACTGTGATCATTATCTCCACAAAAACAATTTTGTTTCCTCACTGGCTGTTTTCCAGGCCAGAATAAAGAAATTCTAAATTTAGTCTGATTTATTTTTATCCAGCATGTTTCTCCGTGTTGCTGAGCTTAAATATCAGCTCCATCAGATCCAATTACAATTTGACAATGTGCGTTCACCCTTACAGGTAATAGAGGGAGAGATTAACTTTCTAAAAAGTCACCACTGTGGGAGCATTTTACAACATGCTGTCTAAATGCATCTTGTACATATCTGTGGTCATTAACAAACGTCACCTGCCTGCTCACTGGAAAGAAAATCTAAGATTACACCATCAATCTAATCTGTATTTATCCACGGGTGTTTACTGAGCCTGGAGGCTTTTTTCAGCAACTTACCGAATCCCACCGAGAGCCTGGTGTGGACAGCATCTTATACTGCTGCTACTGAGCTGATACATGAGAGGAGACAGGGGTTAAGTGCCTTGTTAGTGGCACCTTTTAATGGGCTGTGACTTGCAGGCTTTCTGTGCACAGACCTGCTTTCCCTAGCTTTAAAATCTGAGCTTTAAAATTCTCTGTTCAGCTGATGAGAGTTTAAAAGACATCTGGCGAATATCTTTAAATGTTTGTGGCTGTTTTTTAATTATTAATGAAATGTTAAAACTGCTTTAAGATGCCACTGACAGTGTGAGTACTTCTGTTAATGTTAATATAGTCACTGTGCCTTTGAAGATAACACATGATGCCCTGCTGCTTCGGAGGTAGAATGAGCAATAGGATATTTAAAAAAAAGAAAGAAAGATGAGTAAGGTTGTAATGCAGGGCAGTCCATTATCTTAAGATCTGTGTTCTTTGCTGTCCAGAGTTTACCCCCCCTGGTGGCAGATCCTTTGTTGGATAGCAGTACCGCATTAGTGTAATGACACTCCCCCCAGCTCTGGTCACACGCAAAGTAAAAAAATTGCTGACTTGCATCTTAAAGTTTTTCACTCTGAGGAATAAGAGAATGTTTCTGCACAAGTGATTACGCTGCAGATATTTAGATGACTGATGTACACGGACAGGAGTGTGCAGCCGGGGTGAATCCTCAGGTGAGGAAGTTAGATCAAAGATGTCTTTGGCACTGTGTGAGACCTGGTGAGACAATTAGCTCATTAATGTGTGTAATAACTTTTTAAATGTCATAGCGCCACTCTATGGTGGTCACGCAGAGAAAATAATCACCACGTTGCTCAGAAAACAGGCACACTGGGTTGAAACAGAATTTTTCATTAATTTTTCTTTCCCATCTGCATATTCGTCCGACTGCATGTCAAGGACAAAACTGCCAGCCATGCTTATGGAAAAAAAAAATCGATATCCCCTAAAAGCCTTTCATTAGAAACATATCCATTTGCTGTGTATGGCTGCCAGGGAAAGTTGTGTCTGGAAAAGCTCCAGTGGCTTTTTTAAAAGCCAACTCGAGGCTCCTTTCCTGACAGAAATGTGGTTCATTACCTATGTGTGGGCTTCCAAGCTATTAGACACGTTTGAGCCGACTACTCGAAACCTTTATTCTCCTCTAAGATCTCTGAAGTAGCATTTTAAAGTTTCTGCTTTTCACTTTTCTTATCAGGAGCAACATTTTGAGGCTTGTAATTACTGCTGAACACACAAAGGACAAATCACCAAAATCACAGGGCAAATAATTCATGTACATTTAGTTTGCTCCAACTCTACCTGCTAACTGTGTGTTCACATTTTTTGCAAATGACGCATAATCTTTCTGAGTGTCGCTGACGCTAGCTGCACACAACTTAAGAATGTTCTTGATTTGGACACTTTAAAATGGAGTAATATCTT